CCCCAAACTTTCCCGGGGACCCCAAAGTAACAGATTTTAGACCCACGACAAACTTTTCCAGGACCACCCAAGAAACAAGAAGACCACGAAAAAACATTCCGGGGCCCAGCCAAGTAACAGAAAAAATTTTTAGGCCCGAAAAACATTCCGGGGCCACCAAGTAACAGTGATAGACCCCCAAACAAACATTCCAGCCCAGCCAAGAAACAGATGATGGGACCACGAAAAACATTCCAGGCCCACCCAAAAGTAACAAAATGACGACCACAAAAAAACCTTTCCGGGACCAGCCAAGTAACAGATGATAGACCCGACAAACTTTCCCCAGGACCACCCAAAAGTAACAGATGATGCCCAAAGAAAAACCCTTCCAGGACCACCCCAAGAAACCCGAAAATAGACCGGGACAAACTTTTCCAAAACCCAACCCCAAGAAAACAGAAAATTGGGACCCCAAAAAACCTTTCCCAAGGACCAGCCAAGTAACAGTTAATAAAAAAAACGACAAACTTTCCGGGAAACCAGCCAAGTAACAGATAATGGGACCACGACAAACTTTCCCAAGACCACCCAAAGAAAAACAGATAATAAAACCAAAGGGACAAAAATTCCAGGCCCAAGCAAAAGTAACAGATAATAGCCCCACGACAAACATTCCGGGGACCAGCCAAGTAACAGATGATGGGACCACGACAAACATTCCAGGACCACCCAAGAACAATGTGGGCCCACGACAAAAATTCCGGGGACCCACCAAGAAAAGGATAATAGACCACGCCCAAACTTTCCCAGGACCAAAGGCCAAAGTAACAGATAATAGACCACGAAAAACTTCCAGGACCAGCCAAGTAACAGAGGGAAAGACCACGACAAAACTTTCCCAAGGACCACCCAAGTAACCAGATTATAGACATCGACAAACTTTTCCAGGACCAGCCAAGTAACAGATAATAGACCACGCCCAAACATTCCGGGCCCCACCCAAAGAAAACAATAATGGGCCCCACGACAAACATTCCGGGGCCCCACCAAGTAACAGATGATAGCCCAAGCCCAAAAAATTCCAGGACCACCCCAAAGAACAAATGATGACCACAAACAAACATCCGGGACCACCCAAAAGAAAGGGAGAAAATAGACCACGAAAAACCATTGGGGGACCAGCCAAGTAACAGATGATAACCACGAAAAACATTCCAGGACCACCCCAAGAAACAGTAATAGACCCAAAAAAACATTCCGGGACCACCCAAAAAGTAACAGTAATAACCACGGACAAACTTTCCCAGGACCAGCCAAAGTAACAGATGATGGCCCACGAAAACATTCCAAAAACCAACCCAAGTAAGAGCTAATGCCACAACAAACACTCCAGGCCCAAACCCAAATTTAAACAGCTGAAAACCACAAAAACCCAAAACGGGGTCCCGATTTAAAAGGGTGACGAGAATGGGGGAAAAAAAGAGGGTAAAGGAACTTTTGGGTGGAAACAAGGGTTTGGGGGTAGCAAAAGGGGGAACAAGGTTGGGAAAATAAGTGTTTAGGAGAAGGAAAGGGTTTGGGGTTGGGGGGGAGTGGGAGTAATTTAAGCAATGGGAAAACGGGTGATGGAGTGATGGATTGGGGTTTTGGGGGTTTTGGAGGGAAAAGGGGTTTTTTTTTTTTGGTTTTTGGGGGAATGGTTGTTAGACCGGGGGGAAGCAATGCCGGGGAAAGGGAAACCCTTTGGGGGAAAATGGTGCCAGTGAAATTTTAAATTTCGTTACCTCTGGGTCGTGATCCCGGGACTGGGGGTGGCCCTTAAACCCGGCCCCCCAAACTCCTTTTCATCAAATGTATAACAGGCCCAAAGGGTAACTCCCAACAAAAATGCCCCCACAATTAAACACAGCCAATACCCCAAAAATGTTAACCACAAAACAGTAAACCCCAGAATATTACCAACAAACCCCAGTTTCCACGGAATATTTTAAATCCCCCCGTGCCCCGGAATATTACCCCACCCCCCGTGCCACAGAATATTTTCCCCCACCCCCCAATGCCACAGAATATTACCTCCCTTTTTCATTGGCCCCGGAATATTTAAAACCAAACCCCCACAGTTGGGCCCAGCATATTACCATCATCACAGTGCCACGGAATATTACCCCCACCACAGTTTCCGCGAAATTTTACCCCCACCCCAGTTTCCAAAAGAAAATAAACCACCCCACCCCAGTGCCACGGAATATTACCACCACCCCCACAGTACCACAGAATTTACCCTCCCCTTACAGTACCACAAAATATTACCTTCCTCACAGGCCAAAAGAATATTACAACCACCAAAAGTGCCAAAAGAAAAATTACCCCCTCAAGTGCCACTATTACTAAAGAGGTCACAGCTGAAAGTTACAAAGTACAGATGAGTCACAGGGGGTGTTAGGAAAAACTTTTTTTAACCCTTTGGAATTTGGGCAGAAAGGGGTTTGGAAACGGAACGACCTAGGGCAGCACGAAGGGGAGGGAAACCTTATAGCTTTAAAGGGAAAAGGTATGATGTCTTGCTCCCCCCCATTAAACGGCCAGCAACACCCACCAGCAAAAAAACCCCAGCCCACCACCAAACCAAAAAACCACCAGCAACACCAGCAAAACCACCAGCAACACCACCACAACACCACAACACCCCCCACAAACCACCAGCCCCCACCCCAGCAACAAACCCCCAGCAACAACCCGCAACACCACAGCAACAGCAGCAACACCAGCCCGCAAAACCAGCAAAAAACCCCCCACAACACCACCAGCAACACCAGCAACACCACCAGCAAAAACCAGCAACACCACCAGCAAGACCAACCCCAAGACCCCCAGCAAGCCACCGCAAACCAGAAAAAACCACCCCGCCCAACCCCCACAGCCCACCCCCAGCAACACCACCAAACCAAAAAAACCCCCCACACCAACCCGCAACACCACTAGCAACACCAGCAACACCACAGCACCACCAGCAACACCAGCAACACCACCCCGGCAACACCACCAGCACCACCCCCCAGCAAAACCACCAGCAGCAAACCCGCAACACCCCAGCTAACCAAACCAAGGGAAAAACCCCCAGCACCACCCCCAGCAACACCACGAGCCACCAGCAACACCGCAACACCCGCAGCAACACCCGCAAGGAAAACACCAGCAACCCCCAGCAACACCAAAACCCCACCACCACCAGCCCAAAACCCCCACAACACCAGGGAACACCAGCAGGAACAGCCAGCAACCCCCAGCAACACCCCAGCAACACCCGCAATAGCACCACCACCAGAACCCAGCAGTAGCACCCCACCAGCAACCCAGCAACAGCAGCAAAAACCAGCAGTAACACCGCCCCCCAGCAAAAACAGAAAAGCACCACCACCAGCAAAAAGCAGCGCGCACCCCACCCGCAGCACCCCAACAAACCCCCAGACCACCACCCCCAAACCACCCCCAACAAACCCGCAACGCCAACAACACCAAACCCCAAACACCGGGAACACCACCAAAAAAAAAAAAACCCCCAGCAAAAACAAGCAACACCACCGCAAAAACCAGCAACACAGGGAACACCCCCACCACCCCAAAAAACCACCACCGCAAACCACCCCCAAACAAAAACCCCCACCAGCAACACCGCCCAAAACACCACCACCCAACACCAGCAACACCACCAGCAACACCACCAGCAACCCGCACTTTAGCACCACCCCCACAACACCCGCACTAAAAAACCCCACCAGCAAAAAGCAGCATTACCCCCACACAAAGGGAGCAAACCCGCAACACCACCAAAAAAACCCCCACCACCACAAACCACCAGCAACACCAGAACACCAACCCCAACAACCCCTCAAATCACCACACCACCCCCCAGCACCACCACCCAGGGAACAGGGAGCAACACCACCAGTAACACCACCAACAACACCACCCCGCCCCCAAACCCGCAACCCCCAATAGCAAACCCCCACCAGCACCACCCCCAAAAAAAAACCACCAGCAAAAACCCCCGCACCCCCAACAGCCCACCAAAAGGGACCACCACCACACCACCCCACCCCAAAACCCCCACAAATCAGCAACACCAGCATCACCCGCAACACCAGCACCACCACCACAACCCCCCAAACAAACCACCACCAGCAACCACCCCCACCCCGAAAAAACCACCAGCACCAGCAAAACCACCAAACCCCCACCAGCACCCCCCCACAAAACCACCAGCCCAAAACCGCAAACCGGGCCCCCCAACACCACCAGCAACACCAACCCCAATACCCCCGCATCACCACCAGCACCACCACCACAACCCAGCAGCAGAAGCAACGCCCGCAGCAACACCAGAAAAAACCACCCAGCAACACCAGCGGGACACCACCCACCGCAAAACCCATCATCAGCAAAGGGAAAAGCATAAGCAACAGCAGACCAGCAACAGCGCACAAAAGCAGCAGCAAAAAGCAACAGCAAACCCCCAGCACCAGCAACAGCAGCAGCAAAAGGGAACAGCACAGCAAAAGCAGCAAAAATCAGCCAAAAAAACCGCAGCACCAGAAACAGTACCCGCAACCAAACAACAGCAGGGAGCAACGCAACTCCAAACAGGGGATCAGCATCAGCAACAGGGAACAACCAAAAAGCCCAACAGCAGCACCCGCAACATCAACAGCGGGAGCACCCCAAAAGCACCGCACCAGCACCCGCAACAGCAACAGCAGCAGGGAACAAAAGCAAAAAGCAACAGCAGAAACCCGCAACCCGGGGCAGCAAAAAGCAACAGCAAAAAGCAGCACCAGCAACAGCAACAGCAGTACCCGCAAAAGCAACAGCCGTACCCGCACACAACAGCAAATAAAACCCCAAGAACAGCACAGCCAAAAAGCAACAGCACAGCAACAGCAGCCCAAAAAAAACAGCAGCAGCAACAGCGCAGCAAAAGCAACAGCAACAGCAGCAGCACAAAAAGAACACACAGCAGCAACAGCAAAAACAGTACCCCACCCCAACACAAGCAACAAAAGCAAAAGCAGCAGCAACAGCAGCAAAACCAAAAGCACAGCAACAGCAGCAGCAACAGCAGAACACAACGAACAGCAGCCAACAGCAGCAAAAAGCAACAGCAGTAGCAACCCGCAGCAGCAACAGCAACAGCAAGCCAGCAACAGCAACAGCAACAGCAGCAGCCAAACCCCCAAACAGCAGCAGCAAAAAGCAACAGCACCCCGGGAAAAGCAACAGCAGCAGCAACAGCAACAACAGCAGTACCAGCTACAGCCAAAAAGCAACAGCAACAGCAGTACCCCAAAAGCACAACAGGAACAACCCGCAGCAACAGCGGGAAAAGAAACAGCAGCAACAGCATAACAGAAAACAAAAAGCAAAAAACAGCAACAGCAACAACGCAACGCAGCAGCAAACAGCAACAGCAGCAACACCAAACAGCAACAGCAACAGCAGAACAGCAGCAACAGCGCAGCAACACACAACCGCAAAGCAAACAGCAAACAACAGCAGAACAGCAGCGGCCCGCAACAGGGAGCAAAAAGCAGCAACAGCAACAAACAGCAGCCCAAAAAACAGCAGCAACGCATCAACAGCAACAGCAGCAACAGCAAAAACACAACGCAGCAGCAGCAACAACACAGCAGCCCGCACAGAAAAAGCAAAAAACAACAACAGCAAAAGCAGCACAGCAACAGCCGGGAGCAGCAGCAGCAACCCGCAACAGCAGCAACAGCAAGGGAGCAGCAGCAGCAAACCCAAAAGCAGCAGCAACAGCAACAGCAGCAACAGCAGCAACAGCAGCAAACAACAACACAGCAAAAGCACAAAAGCAACAGCAAAAGCAGGGGCAACAGCACAACAGCAACACAACAAGGGAGCACAACAGAAAAACAGCAGCCCACAACCGCAACAGAACAGCAGCAGCAACAGAAAAAAGCCCGCAGCAACAGCAAAAGCACCAAACAACAGCAACAACAACAACAGTTCCCAGCTTTCCCGCAAAAGCAACAAACAAAAAAAAAAAAAAAAGCATACCAGCAACAGCAGCAACAGGGAAAAAAAGCAGCAAAAGCGCAACACAACAGCAGCAAAACGTAACAGCCGCAACAGCAAAAGAAAAAAACAGCAACAGCAGCAGCAACAGCAAAAAACAGAAAAAGGGAACAGCAGCAACAGCAGCAACAGCAAACAAGGGAACAGCCGCAAAAGCAACACAGCAGCACAAAAACAGCAGCAAACCCGCAAACAGCCCGCAAAAGCAGCAAAAGCAGCAACAGCAACGCAGCAAAAGCAAAAAGCAGCCAAAACAGCAGCCCAAAAGCATAAAAAGCAAAAGCACAACAGCAAAAGCAGCAACCCCAGCAGCAGCAAAAAACAGCAGCAGGGAGCAGCAGCAACAGCAACAGCAACAGCAGCAACAGGGAGCAGCAACAACAGCAGCAGCAAACCCGCAGCAACAGCAACAGCAGCAAAAAACAGCAGCGCAGCCAGCAAAAAAAAGCAAACAGCAACACAACAGCAAACAACAGCAGGGAACAAACAGCAGCAGAAAAAAACAGCAACAACAGCAGCAACACAACAGCAACAGCAGCAGCAACAGCCGAACAGCAAAAGCCCCAAAAGCCCGCAGCGGAAAACAACGCAGCACCACAACGGGAAAAGCACAGCAACAGCCCCAAAACACCCGCAACAGCAACAGCACCAAACAAAAAGCAACCGCAACAACAAAAGCAAATACCAGCTAAAAAGCAACAGCAACAGCAGTACCTGGCAACCCGCGCAAAAAGAAAAACAGCAGCAACACAGCAACAGCAACAGCAGCAACAGATAAAAAGCAAAACCAAACAACAGCAACAACAGCAACAGAGCAACAGCGTAACAGCCCGCAAAAGCAAAAAAAAGCAACAACAGAACAGCAAACAGCAAAAAGCAAAAACAGCAAAAGCAACACAACAAGCAACAGCAGCAACACCCGCAGCAACCCGCAGCAAAAGCAAAAAAGCACAGCAACAACCCGCAGCACAAACAACAGCATCAACGCAACCCCACAACGAAAAAGCAGCAACAGCAGCAGCAGCAAAAACCCGCAGCAGCAGCCCAAAAGCAACAGAAAAAGCAGCAACAGCCAGCGAAAAAGCAGCAGCAGCAGTTAACAAAAAGCAAACAGAACCCCAAAAAGCACACAGCAACAACCCGCAAACAGCACAACAACAGCCCCCCCAAAAGCAGCGCAGCAACAGCAACAACACAAAAGCAAAAAGCAGCAGCAACAACCCCCGGGGAACAACAGCAGCAGCAGCAAAAGCAACCGCAGCGCAGCAGCAGCAGCAACAGCACAGCAACAGGGAACACATCAACAGAACAAAAGCAAATACCCGCCCCCAAAAGCAACAACAGCACAGCAAGGCAACAAACAGCAAAAGGGAGCAACAGCACAACAAACCAGCAGAACAAAAGCAACAGCACAGGGAGCAGCAACAGCAACAGGGAGCCGCGCAACAACAGCAGCAAAAACAACCCGCAGCAACAGCGGGAAAAAAGCAGCAACAGCAGCAAAAGCAGCAGCCCCAAAAAAACCCGCAACAAAAAAAAACAAAAAAAAAAAAAAAAAAAAAAAAAAGAGGGAGCAACAGCAGCAAAAGCACCCGCAACAAACACCCCAACAACCCGCAACAGCACAGGGAACAGGCAACACAAAGCAACCCGAAAAGCAACCCGCAACAAAACACAGCAGCAAGCAGCAACACAGCAACAGCAACCAAACAACAGGCAGCAGCAACAGCAAAAAAAACAACCCGCAGCACCAGAGGGAAAGGGGGGGAAAGGGAGAGTGGAGGAGAAAAAGGGGGGACGTAGTGGTGGAATAGGGTGTGGGGGTGGTGGGGGTTTTTTAGTAGTGGTGGTTTGGGGATGGGGGGGTGGGAAAGGGTGGTGGGGGTGGTGGTAAGGGGTGGGTTGGTGGGGTTTGGGTGGTGGTTGTAAAAAAATGGGGGGTATTTTGGATGGTGGTGGATAAATGTGGATGGGGGGGGGTGATTTTGGATGGTGGGGGTGGTTTGGGGGGTGTGTTGGTGGTGTGTTGGGGAAAAATGGGGGTTGGGAGTGTGGATGGTTAAAAATTTGGGATGTGGTGGGGGTGGTTAGTGTGGATGGTGGTGGTGGGGGTAGGGGTTTTTTGGAGGGGGGTAGGGATGTGGTTTGGTTGTTGGTGGAATGTGGATGGTTATGTGGTGGGATGTGGTGGTGGGGGGGGGTAAAAGTTTATCCCCCCCCCCTTGCCCCCCCCACTTGGAAAGGTTTGTTTTGGGCAGGTTGGGGTTAGGTTTATGTCCGCTTGATGGTTGGGGGGAGACCCCTCCAAACCCCACTGCCTACATTTTTTTCCCCCCCCACCCCTTTTTTCCCCCCCCTCCCCCCAATTCCCGCAGCCAAAAGGATTTTTTGTTTGGGTGACCCGGTTAAGCGCTGCAGGTGTTAGTTTTGCTTTACCTTGGTTATGGAAACCCCAAAACTTTTGCTGCTGACAATGTTTAGTGGTTCTGCTGACACTGTTTTTTAGTGCTGCGACACGGGGGTTTAAATGGTGCTGTGACCTTGTTTGTGGGTGCTGCGACACGTGTTAGGGGGCGCTGACACTGTTAGTTTCTCTGCAAAGGGGTTTTGTGGTTCTGTGACACGGGGGTTAAATGCTGCTACACGGTGTTATTGGTTCCCTGGGGCACTGTTTTTATGTTCTGCCGACAAAGGGGTTAGGGGGCTTTCTGAAAACCCGTGTTTTTGTGGGGGCTGCTTTACACTGGGGTTTTGTGGTTTCTGGGTGACACTGTGTTATCTTTCTTGGACACGGGTTTTTGTTTGGTTCTGCTTTAAACGTTTAGTGTGCCTGCCGGTTTTTAGGGGCTGCTGACACTGTGTTAAAAGGGCTGTTTACACGGGGTTAGGGGCTGCTGAAAATGGGGGTTTGTGGGGCTGGGTGACACTGTTAGTTGCTTCCCGACACTGTTTAGTGGTTGCGACCCCCGGGGTTAGGGGGTGCGCAGAACGGTTTTAGTGGGCTCTGCCACTGTGTTAGTTGTCTGACACTTTGTTGGATGTTTCACGGATTTTTAAGGTATGCTGGGAAAGGTTTTAGTGGTACGGGTGACACGGGTTTGTTCTCTGAAGGTTTATGGACCCCTGACACGGGGTTTTGTGGTCTGTTTACACGGTTTTTTAGTGGTTCTGTTTTACACTTTTTGTTTTTTGGGAACTGCCGGAAAATTGGGGGTTTTTGGGGGGACACTGTTAGGGTCTGCTGCACGGGGTTAATGGTCTGCTGACACGGTGTTATGGGCTGCTGACCGGGTGTTAGTGGGCCCAACTTTACACGGGGCTTTGTGGGGCTGGGAACGGTTTAGTTTGGGGCTGTTTTCACTGTTAGGGAAACTGCTGAAAATTGTGGGTTTTTCGAAACTTTTTTAAGGTCTGCTGACCCCGTGTTTAATGGTGCTGCTGGGCCCTTCGGTGTTAGTGGTCCGCT